CCCCCCCCCACCCCTCACCACCACCAATAAATAAATAACTACTTAAAAACATAACCAGCAGCAGAAAAGGATCCAAAACACTGACCAGGTTGAAGCAAACAAAAGCCGAAACTAAAGGAAACTTATTCGGAAACATTCCAGAGATCAAACCGGATATTCAACCTTGGGGAAAAAATCACTGCCTAAACGAGTATAAAACCATGATATTCGAAAAGGCAGGAATTGAATAAATCAAAAACCTTACTTTCCACATGCAACATCCAAATCATGGTGATTAGATAGAAAATCCTCAAAAGTTAGAAGCGCTTACGCATCATATCAGATCATATTGCATTCAAATAAAAATGGATCATCTGAATTCCAACATTTTTCGTGACATCAAGGAAATAAAAGGACAAAAAGTATGGAAAAAATCAGATAAATGGAATGGTAATAAGACAAATCAAAGAACAAGTTCTAATGGAATCAAATACCATAGGAACTGGAAAATAGGAAATAAGACGATGATGTATAAGTCGAATTAAACGAATACGATACAACGAAAAAGATAAAAAAAAAAAAAAAAATCGCTCCTCTCGATTTAGTGCTTCTCTTTATTTGCAGAAATAGGCAAAGTCTTTGAAGCTTACTTCTCTTGTTCGACCAGAGCGTTTGTTGCAGAACGAATGCCGATGTGAGGAGAGTGAGGAGCGGTAGAAGGAGAAGGTGAGTAAGCCATATATCTGCCGGAAGACATGTTTGCAGAGAGATAGACCTTAGATCCCGGCCAGATTCCAGCGGAATGGCTAGGGATCCGGCGGAGATGCTTCTAGTTGAGTCGGCAGGAGGAGAGGTACTTATAGAGTAGAGAGATTGATAAGAGGAGGAGACGAGATGGGTGGAAAAGAATAGTTAGCTTTACTTGCTGTCTGAACGACAAATTTTTCCCATTACACGTACGTACACGTATAGTTTACTCTGTTATTTACTACGGACTACTCAGTTATTTTCAATGTTTTAAAAAGCGAACCGGAGGTCGACCCATTTTCCCTCCGGGTCACGGGTTACCGGTTCGACCATCCGGATCGAATGGTTCAATCCGTGACATCATAATTAAAAATATGAAAAAAATGTATTATATATACATATAATATATATATATATGTGAATAAAACCTGTATAAATATCCAAAAATGATATAAAATTATAAATAGCCAAAAAATGTCTGAAATCTCTAAAAAAATGACTAATATTTACATAAAATATATAAAATAACTAAAARGATGCATAAAATGCAAAAAATAAAATAAAAAAATTGCATACCATCTTAACATTCGTCAGTGGATGGCGAGAAGGATATTGAGCACTGGTGTGAATCACCCAATACAGTCACTGAYGACCAACGAGAAGTGATGTAGCATGATCTAACTCCCAGCTGGAGGGTGATCTGGCTTCCAATCGAGCAGCAACCTGGATCAATCTGCAAGACGATGGATCGGAGAACCCGGGGTGGCTAACCTAGCGAGGTTGCTCTGATGCTTAAGTTAGTATCTGTGAGCTGAATGCTTTGAGAATTTGAGAGAGCTAAAGAGCTAGAGAGTAGAGTGATCATGCGTACCTGGGCCCTAGAGCGGTTGTTGCTCTTATATAGCTGAGCTGCCGTGGGTTTCACGGAACGGTTCCGGGATCTTTGGCCTGAGTGGATGAGATCTGTTTCTGCTTTAGCTAGGGAGTAAYGTATCAGTCAATGAAATCTATCATTTCCGCCTGATCTGGGCGGGGAGAGGATATGGTATGTTGTTACGTGGTGTGATCCCGTGAGGTTAGGAGTGTTAGCTCATCGTGATCTCGAGAGGTCGAGCCAAATCACCCTTCATCAATTGCCCCCCACTCCCCGAGCCAGGGGTCTCAACCCGGTGCGGGGAGTTCACGACGAGTCCAAGTGGATTTGGCACAAGGTCTAGGCGGCTTGACGGGCGAATCATTGGTCGGACCTGTTCAGCCACCCGACTCAATCAAGAATAACCCAAGTCGCGTCTAATTTACGTGCAAACGTCACACCGTTTATAAACTCTGCAGACGTCAAAACATGCGCTAAATCGATTTCAACCCCGGGAGTCGTGCAACCGGTTTTCCTAGGAGTCGTTGGATCATGGCGATCTCAACCGTTGATTCCCGGACACACTGGCTATAAATAGGAGCAAGGGGCTCATTTTCTTCGCCACAAGTCCGCTAATCTGCAATCTGAGGTCGTGCTCGAGTCCTTCAATTCGGTGTCTTTCCGATGTCGCCTTCCTTTCTTTAGTCTTTCCTTTGGTGAGTCTTCCTTAGCTCTCTCTTTTTCGATTCCGTGTCTTTCCATCATGTCTAGCTTTAGTTTTGATAGCCTTTTAGACGGAAGCGGTGAATCCGTTGGAGCCGAGTACCTCGGCTCAAGCCGTAGATCCTCGTCCTACCAAGGAGGTTACTTCAGGTTAAGACTCACCTTGGGAGGAGCGAGAGGCCTCTGGTAACTTGGCTTCCACCTCACATCGAGGTCGGCTGCCAGGTAACTTTGACCTGTCGACAATGACGGCAGACAGACTCCTAGCCCTAGTAGCCCAGTATAGACTTCCTAACGACCTCATCTACAGCATCCCTTTAGGTAACTTCCCTTGGGAACACGGTCACGACGAGATCGTAATCTTCTAGGAACAGCTCGTGGTTGGTCTTCGTCTTCCACCTCACCCTCTCATAGTCGAAATCATAAAGTTGTTCAACATCACCATAGACCAGTTGCACCCGAACTCCATCCACAACGTCGTAGGGACCATTTCTCTTTTCCACGACTACAWTCTTCCTCTTGACCGCGACATTTTTTCTTCTATTCTTTCCATCAAGAAGAACTCGTCTTGTGTTCTGCCTAAGCACAGGCGAACTTATTAACTGTCACCTCGTCCTGGCTTCAAACTCTTGCTCGAGCTCCCGAACAAGGTCCCGGCCCGGAAGAGGCACTATTTCGTGGTCCACAACACTGAGGGGTGGCCTTTCCCGACTCATTGGAGGGCAGCCATCCAGGACCCYAGTGTTAGGATGGACTTGAAGACAAGAGAGGCACTCCGATCTTGGGCGGAGCTCGGCTTGAAGTTCGAAGACTTTGTGACCGAGAAGAAGATCGTGCATGCCGGTCTAAGTCCTGGTAGGTCGTTGTTTGTTGTATTTTCTCTCTACTTTACTTCGGTATGGTATTTGACAACTCGTTTTTTGTTGCAGCTATCATGGACATCCCTGCCAACGAACTCTTTAGGAGTATGAAGAAGGGGAAAAAAAAGAGAGCCTAAAAAAGGGCTCGCATTGAGTCCCCACCAGCCGCTCGAGTTGAGTCCCCACCAGCCACCGTTCCAAAGCTCGAGCAGCCATCAACTGCCGATCAACCTCCAGTAATAGACCTGGTTGAGGAGGACTCGGGCAAGCTCTCCCCACCCCGCGTGCCCGAGGAGGCTACATCTTCGGAGCCCGCCTCGGCAGTTGCTGCTTCTTCAAGCAGTGACGACACAGCTCGGAGCATTTTGACTCCGAAATGCAGCCTCCTCAAGAGCAAGGGCGCAGTATTTGTTGAGGAAGTTGCTAGCTGGGCTGAACTGCCGATTGCTCAGCTCGGAGCCCGAGTGGCTACACAGTGCATGGTGGTAAGTTTTTGGACTTGTCTTCTTCAATCAGTCTTGTACTTGGCTTTTTACATGCTGACACTTGTTTTCTTCTCTTGATAGGTGAATTAAACCATCCACGCCTTGGCTTATCAGTCCGAGGTGAACTTGAAGTGGGCCCTCGCAGCCAAGGAGTCTTCCTACAAAGCCCACGCCGAGTTGAACTTAGCCCGCAATGAAAATAACTAGTTGAAGAAGGACGTACAGGCTAAGAAGGAGCTGCTCACATTGCTGATGGCGGAGAAGAAGGAGCTCGAGGAGCATGAGGCGGCCTTGAAGAGGGAGCTCGAGGAGCGAGAGGCGGCACTGAAGAGGGAGGTGGAGAACCTCGAGGCTCACGTGAAGGAGCGAATTGAGATACTTCTTCAGGCAATGGAGGAGGCCAAGGTTAAGGCCGTCGAGGAGTACAAGTCTTCGGTGGAGTACCGGAAAGAGATGGTCGAGGTGGGGACGGCAAGCTACCGCAAAGGTTTTAAACTTAGCAGGTGGCTRACTCGACACGAGTTCCCCCAACTCGACCCCAGTGTCATAACCACTTCGAGGATCACAAAGGAGATGGCCGTTGAAGTTGCCCAAGATCCGGACTCCAAAGCAGAAAGTGATGGTGACCTATTTGATGAAGATGAGGAGACCAGTGCTGGCGAGAGCCGCATGGAGATGGATCCTCCTGTCGAAGCCTCCAACAAGGGTGAGAAGCCCCGAAGTGACTAAATGCCTCCTTTCTTGGACCCCCTTCTATAATACACCGAGCTTGGTGCATTATAATTTTTTTTTGTGTGCAAGAATCTTTTTTTCTTCTAAGTGTAGACAACTTCCGAACCAGTGAACTAAATCGAATAGGAGTAGATTTTTTCCTAAGTGTCGGTTACTCCGAAATGTCGAGCTAACAAGCTGGACTCCGAGTAGGGATAACTTCGCATCATTGTACGCCGAGGTGGGCGGACACTGTAGGGTATATACCTGACCTGTCTACACACGAGCTACTCGTTTAGGTGTTGGTTATCCCTTAGTGTCGAGCCATCGGGCATGATTTCAAATGGGACCAACCTGTTGTTATATGTCGAGGTGGGCAAGACATCGTAGGGTTTGTACCCGAACTGTCTATGCCTTAGGTGTAAGAACTGGTCTGCCTATGCCGAAGAGGCGACTAGGACTTGTTTGCTTATGCCGAAGAGGCGACTAGGACTTATTTGCCTATGCCAAGGAGGCGACTAAGGCTTATTTGCCTATGCCGAAGATGCGACTAGGACTTACCATAGTGCCGAGGTCTTATGTCAGCTCGACATCATGGCCCTTGGGYTTTCGGGGGTGACTTGCAGTCCTCTCTCCAGTTCGGTGATTCTTCTTGACCAGTTCGCTGGTAACGAGTAGTACCGTCTTAGGTTGTCGATGTTCTACGCTCGAGGTACTTGCTTCCCTTCCAAAGTCTCGAACTCGTACGTGTCTTCCCCAAACACCCGTCTTACTCGGTACGGACCTTCCCAATTCGGTCCAAGCTTACCAACGCCGGGCTCAGGTACTTAACCTTCTGAAGAACTAGGTTGCTAATGCGAAAGTGTCATTTTCTGACCTAGGCATTATAGTACCGAGCTACTCTCTGTTGGTAAGCCAGGTCTCGTACCTCTTCTACCAGGTCTAGGTTGGTACAGAGCTTGTCATCATTCGTCTCCTCATCATAGGCCTCCAAGCGTAGTGTGGGCATATCGATTTCTACTGGGATCACCGCTTCTGTACCGTAAGTGAGGTTGAAAGGAGTCTCACCTGTGGCAATCTTAATAGTAGTTCGGTAGGCCCAGAGGACACTGGGCAGTTCGTCTACCCACAACCCCTTGGCTCGAGCTAAGCGAGCTTTTAGTCCGTGAAGTATTGCTCTGTTAGTGACTTCCGCTTGCCCGTTCACCTGGGGGTGTGCCACCGAGGTGAAATTTTGTTGAATTCCCATTTTGGCACACCAATTTTGAAACTTGATATCATCGAACTGCTTTCCATTATCGGAGATGAGTACCCGAGGTAGCCCGAAGCGACATACTATGTTCTTCCAAAAGAAGTTTTGTATGTTGCAGGCTATGATCGTTGCCAAATGTTCAGCTTCCACCCACTTCGTAAAGTAGTCTACTACTACGACCAGAAACCTCCTCTATCCTGTCGCTGGCGGGAATGGGCCAAGGATGTCGATTCCCCACTGCACGAAGGG